GCCTCCCCCCGTCCCTCCCAGCCCCTCGGCCCGGCTCCCTGGTATCCCTGGTATCCCGATCGGGCGCCCCTAAGTCCCCTCTCCCCGGCAGGCCCTGCCCCCGGGCCACCCTCTGAGGGCCCAGCCCTGGATTCCAAACAGAGATCCCCACGCTCACCCCGTTCAGGGTGTGCACCCATCTCCCCGGAGGAGGGAGGGACGACGGCAGACCCACCGGCCTCGGGAGCGCTGTCATCAGTCCGTCCTGGCAGCGCGGGCGGCTCTGGATGCGGAGAACCCGTCTCCGGTTGCCGCCAGGAGATTTATTACGCGAGAGGCCGATCGGGCCTCGGGCCCACGCGCTCCGAGGTGTGGGACCACAGGGTGCGCCGGGCTGGATTAATCTTTCATTTCTCAGGGCTCCTCGGGCCCAGCCTGGAATGACGCCAGGCCGAAGCCAGACTTGCCCAAGATACTGTGCGTGGCCATGGGAGCGCAGGCGTTACAGGGACCTTAGGAAGCCATCCGAGCAAAGCCTGGACGTACACCCGGATGGACCCCGCAGCGTCTCGATGGCTCGGGCCTCGTTTTTGTTGGATTCTTGCTGCCCTGAATTTTTTTAAAGCATGCAGTTAGCAAGTTGCTAATATTTTATCGTGGGGATTTTCTTTATGAGCTCAGTGACATCAGTAGAGTTTCTAATGGGAAACCATCCTTGAATTCTTGGGGTTAAACTCAACTTGCTCATAATGTTGTGTTAACGCATCGCTGGTTTCAGTTAAAAATATTTTATTTGGGTAGATTTCTTTCTTTCTTTTTTTTTTTTTCCAAAATAACTATTGTGTGTTTTTCTCTCAAAAATTAGTGAAGAGCCTGGCTGGTCTGGCTCCGTGGTTGAGTGTCAGCCTATGAACCAGGAGGTCACATGCCTGAGTTTCAGGCTTGATCCCCAGGAGGGAGTGCAGGAGGCAGCTGACAATGATTCTCTCTCATTATTGATGGTTCTCTCTGTCTCTCTCTCTCTCTCTCTCTCTCTCTCTCCTTTTCTCTCTGAAATCAATAAAAATACATTTTTAAAAAATTACATTTTAAAAAATGTAACAGTGGGCTAACAATTGGTAGTGGGACAATTGATCATCTGTGTGTGTGTATGGGGGGGGGGATGAAAATGGATCTCTGCCTCACCCCATACCAAAAAAAAAAAAAAAAAAAATCATTCCAGGGACACACAAATCTACTGCAAAAAAAGCAAAGTTTAAACATTTTAGAAGAAAATAAAGAATACCTTTATAACTTCAGGATGAATAAGGATAAACCACACGGATTCCTTATGAAGATTTAATATCATTAAAATTAAAACTATTGCCCTGGCTGGTTTGGCTTAGTGATTAGAGCATCGGCCCAAGGACCAAAGGGTCTCGGGTTCGATTCCTGGCCAAGGGCAGGTACCCCAGCTGCAGGTTCGATCCCTGGCCCAGTCAGGGCGCATGCAGGATGCAACCAATCGATGTTTCTCTCTCCGCCTTTCCTTCCCCTCCTCCTCGCCTCCCTCCCTTCCACTCTCCCTGAGAATCAATGGAAAAAATATTTTTGGGTGAGGATTTAAAAAAAAATTAAAACTATTTGTTAAAAGACACCATAAAAAGGTGAAGCTAAAAGCTACCAGCTGGTGCCCTCGCTGGTGTGGCTCAGCTGGTTGGAGCCTCATCCTGTGCACTAAAGAGTCAAGGGTTTGATTCCAGGCCAGGTTTCAGTTCGATCCCCTGGTCAATGTGCCTATAATTCTCTCTCTCTCTCTCCCTTTCTCTCTAAAATAACTTTTTAAAAAAGAGAGTGAGATAAAAGCCACCAACTAGGAGGTGTCCACAAACTCACGACCAACGAAGTATAGTTAACTGTCTTCAAAATACATAAAGAATTCCTACATATCAATAAAGAAAAGAAAATGGGCAAAGGCTATGAACAGGGAATTGACAGAAGAGGAAACTGAAGTGGCAACCAACAACAACGAATAAAAAGATGCTCACTTGTTATTAGCAATCAGGAAATGCAAATTGCAAACACAACAGTGGATTGTTCCATGCTCAACAGGCTGGCAGTTTGATTCTGGTAATATACTAAGGTGGGCAGAAGCAGCTGGAATGCTCGTATGGTTGACGAAACTATAAATTGGCGCCGTAACTGGAGAGCACTTTGGGCGTCTCTGGTAAATTGAAGTCCCACTCCCCTGGTTTGCCTCAAAGAAACTCTGAATCCCAAGCTCAAGAACTTCTGTTCACAAAGGCAACATTGTTTCTATCAGAAAACTGTTAACAACCCAAATGTCAATATTCAGGAAAATAGAGAAAGAAATGGTTACTATACATTCCAAGGCCACTCATTGGGGAAGAGCAATGAAGTAGAGGAACCTTATTAACACAGGCCCTAATGCCGTGTGAATAACGATGTAGAAAAGTTCATAGACGATAAAGCCTTTATGTTAATTTGGAAATATTCCAAACCACGCTTATGTCTTATATTGGACAGAAATAGATACACATGTAGTAAAAACTGGAGGGTGTGCATGGGACGATAAACGCCAAATTCAGAACTGGGTTTAACATTCTGCCTTCAGGACCCTGCCACGCTGTATGCACCCCGCCCTGGGATCACTGCTATGGGCATTCAGGCCTGCCTTGCTGGCCCAGTGCCCCTGGTGGGTGGGTTTTCCCTAGATGATTCTCAAGCTGGGAAACTTGAGGTTTCTCTTCGGCAAATATTAACCGGAGTATCTGGAAGTCATGGCTGTATTTGCGGACCCAGTGCTGTTAATCTTTCAACACATAAGTGGGTAGCTTCAGCCTCCTTTGCAGAGGTCAAGCACGAGACTCCACAAGATCAAGCCTGTGCCCGCGTCCTCCTGCCTGCAGCCCCCCTGCTGCGAGTCGGAGCTGGTCTTTCTCAGATTTCCAAATCCAGCAGCATACCCGGCGGCTGAGGGCCGGAGCCTGCCTGACCCCCGGGGCGCTGCCAGGCCACACAGGAGTCGGGGACGGGGACGTGTTGAAAGGACCTCCACTGCCTCTTCCAGCCCCGGGCGGGCCGGGGGAGGAGGGGTGACGTGCCATCAGCTGCTCAGGGACTGCGTGGCTTCTGGCCAGTCCTGGGCGCTGACACCCCTCCCTCGTTGTGAGAGGCCACGCCCCCATGCTCCTTCCTGCACGCGAGGGCCTCTCACTCTGCAGATGGGGAAACTGAGGCCCGGGAGCGGCAGGAATCTGCCCCTGGAACTCAGCAGGAGGCAGGGTTCACCCTAAAAAAATAATACCGCCGAGCGGCTGGCGCTGACTCTCGCCGAGTGTGCCCCCACCCCCGGGTCCGCCGGCTCTTCTGCTCCCTACACCTGCAGAAGTGGGGGTCCGCCTCCCCGATCCGGGGTCTAAAAATGCCTCTGCTGTTACCTGGGCCTGGAGACCCGGGCTCGAGCGAGGGGCGTCCCAGAGATTCGGTCTTCAGATCCGCGGGAGTCCCGTTCGGTGCCCCCAGACTCCACCCCCCACACGCACCCCTCAGTTTCCCCGTAATTAATCCGAGCCACCGAGACCGGCTCCGGCCACGAGGGGGCGACAAAGCCCAGGCGCTGAAGGGTCGGTACCGCCGAGCGCCGCCGCCTCCCCGGGAACAAAGGGACCTGGGCCCCCGCTGCCCAGCGCAGTAGAGGGCTGTCCCCGCAGCCCCGGGCTCAAGTGCCCCCGCTCCAGCCGCCGCAGGCGATTGCACTTCCTCTGTCCAGCGCAGCCAGCCGGTTAGGCGCCAGGTAGGCTGGGAGGCCTGGCGTCCAGACCCACCATGCCGCTGCTCCATGGGGGGTGGGACACGGTCTCGGTAGGTGCCTTCCTCCTGCATCCAGGACTCAGGCTGGACTCAAGGCCCTGGCATCACCTCCAGGCCCAGCCTCGCAGCAGGCCGGCCCATCACTGGGGTGAGTGGCAGGCAGGCCCTACCACAGAATGGGGTCTCTAGCACCTGACCCCAGTAGGCTGAGTTGCTGGGGGCTGCCTCTGCCTCTCTCAGCCTCGGTTTCCTCATCTGTCAGCTGTGGCTCCATGGACAAGCTGCTCAAAGGCCCTGCTTGCACCTTGTTCCTCCCACTTGACTGGCAGCCTGGCCCCACACCTGGCTCCTCCCCAGGCGCGCCTTGGTGGAGGTCAAGAGGCCTCTGACCTTGGGCACCAGGCCACCAGAGTGGGCGGTGAGCTGCCACCCAGCCCAGCGGCCCGGCTGCAGCCGGCACCAAAGAGGTTCCTACAGTTCTATCAGTAAACTGTAAAATGCTCACCTGTAAAATGAGGACATCATAACCTCATGGGCACTGTGCCCTCAGCCCCCTGTGAGTCTGTGCCAACAGCCCCCTGTTGACGCTCCAGCACTGGGCATCCTGAGGGCAGGCACAGGCTCTCTCTTGATTCCCAGACAGAACCTACCCGTGGGTGGGTGAACATGGGGAGCTACAGCCTAGCTGGGCATCCTCAGCCCAGGCAGGGGTGCAGGGCGCAAGGCCCCGTAGCAGCTCCTGCAGACTCCACCCAGAATCCTGCTTTGCCCT